TGTCATACCTCGAGTGCTGAAATGGATATGCTATTTCTGTGTTTCATTTCAACAGTGGAAATTAGTTTTCCTTGTGAGATGAAACCCAATGTGCAGTAGCCTGCCCGGTGGCCCTGGGGGCTCCCACCTTCAGCTTCCCTGCAAGTTCACAGGGTGTCTTTGAGGAACTCAAAGGACCACATTTTGATTCCTGGACAACAAAGAGTTCCTCACTCCTGCAGCACCCTGAAGGACTACTGGATGGCCCCCAGATGGCAGTCAGGCAAAAATATGGCCAGGGCTGGTTATGGCACATACCTATATCCCAGCACTCGGGAGGCTGAGTCAGGAGGACTGCTGTGAGTTTGAGGCCAGCCTGGGCTACATAGTGAGACCATGTCTCAAAAGACAGACAGACAGACAGACAGACAGACAGAAAGAAGAAAGAAAGAAAGAAAAGAAAAGAAAAGAAAAGAAAAATAGAAAAAGGGCTGGGTTGTAGCTCCAGAAGGCTTTGGTTTCGTTCAATCTCCAGTACTGAGAATAAAAATAAAAACAAAAATAAAAATAAAAAGTGCTGCTATTTTTGGCATTTCCTGTGATTTCTGCTTACTGTGGCCAAGCTTTAGTTCTCGGAGGCAGTAAAAGCAGAGCCTTCTGGTGCAGGGCACCCTCTGTGGTCTTCGCACTCTGGTTTTCACCTGGTGTCTTTTCATCTACTCTTTTTTCAGTTCATTCCTCTACTTTATTTTGTAAGCCTTGTGTTTTTATGCATTTAGTTTATAAGAGCTGTTTTTATTGAATTTTCTTTTTTTGCTCCTCGGGGTAGAAGCTGGGCCCTCATGTGCTCTACCTGAGCTCCACCCCAGCCCCTGAGTGAGCTTTCTCACGTCACGCATCCTTTTTTCTCCTATGATATGCTAAAATAATCATTGTTTATTTAACTAGAGTTATAAAGTGACATCAAAAGAACTTAAAACACATAAGCCACCCAACTCTGCTAAAACTCAAGTCACCCAGGAAACCAAAGCCTAGCAGCAGAAAACACAAGCCATAAACTCTTTTTTCTTCTCAGTCCATATTCGGAAAATGAAGTCCTTTGTATCCACACGTGTTTGCAGTGCAATGTGCTCACACCCAGCGGGGATCCGACGCACACACAGGTGGCCTCCTGAGCACCTTTGCACCCGCCCTCCTCTACCTCCTTCCCTGGCCCCTTCCCGTCTCTATCCCAACTGCCTTCCTGTTTCTCAAGCTGGCTCTTAACTTGCTCTGTAAATTGTGTCTATTCAGGTCCCACATTACAGCAAGCAGGCAATAGTCAGCCTATTGTGGCTGAGTGACTGCAGGTGCGTCATGGTCTCAGGTGCGCCTGTTTTCCTACAAATGACTCCCATTCGTCCTGTCCTCACAGGGCACACAAACCACAGCTTCTTCATCCATTGGCTGCTGCTCTGATTTAGCTGTGGTGAGCTGTGCTGGTACAAACATGACCATGGATGCGTCACTGTAGTAGGATGACTTCCCCTCTTCTGGGAAGATACCCAGGAAAAGTGTAGCTGGGCCAAATGGAACTCTTAGTTTTAGTTTTTTTAGAAATCTCTGTACTGATTTCCAAATTGGTTGTACCTGTTCCTTTTCCCCGCAAGCTTGCCAGCATGTTTCTGAGCCCTTGATAATGGTCATTCTTCCTGGAGTAAGGTGGAATCTCAGTGTTGTTTCATTTGCATTTTTCTAGTGGTTAGAGATGTTGAGCATTTTTTCATGTCTTCATTGTTCACTTGTGTTTCTTCTGTGAAGTGTCCATTTATTTCACTTGACCATTTTTTGATTGGGTCTTTTGTTTTTGGCAGTCTAATTTTTTGAGTCCTTAAATATCCTAGATATTAATCCTCTGAAGAGTAGCTGGTAAAAGTTTTTCCTACTCTGTAGGTTGTCTCTTCATTCTGTTGGTTGTTTTCTTTGCTGTGTAAAAGCCTTTTCATTTAATATATTCCCATTTGTTGATTCTTGGTATTATTTCTTATACAATTGGGGCTCTATTAGGAAGTCTTTGTCTATGCCTATGTCTTCATGAGTTTTACCCATTTTGTCTTCCAGCAGATTAAGTTTGTGTTTTAGCATTTAGGTCTGTGGTCCAAGTTTATTTAATTTCAGTGCAGGATGAGAGAGAGATGGATTAACATTCATTCTTCTGCATGCAGGTAGTCAGTTTTCTCAGTACCATTTGTTATGAGGCTATCTTTTCTCCAGTGTATTATTGGTCCTTTTGTCAAAACTCAGCTGGCCAAAGGTGCCTGGGGTTGTTTCTGCATCCTTTATTCTATTGCTTGGTCGCTGTGCCTGTTTTTGTGCCAGTACTGTGCTGCTTTTACTTCTGTGGCTTTGCATGATAACTTGAAGCCCAGGCTTGTGGTTCCTCCTGCCTTGCTCTTCTTGCTCAGGATTGCTGTGGCTATCCTGAGTCTCTTCAGAGTCCATATAGATTATGGAATTTTTTTTAGTACCGTGAAAAAAAAGCTGATGGTATTTTGATGGAGATTTATGAAATCTATACATTATTTTTGGTAATACAACAATTTGATAATGTTAGCTCTGCCTATTCCAGGAACAAGGGATATCTTTCCATTTTCTAATGTCCTCTTCAATCTCTCTTTTTAGAGCAATGTAATTTTTGTTATAAAGAAAGACCCTGTTGCTAGTATGGAGATCTCTTTAGTTAGTGTCTGCTTCCCAGTGATGTGACCTTGGCTTTGGTTGTGTTTAGGTATTATGAGCCTCTTCATTCTACTCAGCTTAATAGGATCAGATGCAGTCGCTACGCTGCAAGGACAGAATCCATGCTATGTTGTTGTATCAACATTGATCCACCCAGCCATATGTTAATCATGTACATTAGAGCATGTTTTAACAATTTCACCCTTTTCTCTATAACCCATAAAGGGTAATATAGGACAATTGACAAGCAGGCTGGAATGTGATGCATGAGGAAAGAAAAAAGGAAGAGAAGAGAGAATGGGGTGGATCAGAAGGAAGAGAAGGAGAAAAGAGAAATAGCAACAAATTAGAGGGAGAGGAGGCTGCCCTCTGTGGGTGTTACTGTGACTGAGGGCAGGGCCGGCGAGGGAGCCCGTGGTGTTTGTGGAGCAGCGGAAAGATGCAGAGACAGGAAGTGCAGGTGGAGCCTTGACGAAGGCCGGAGCCTATCATTCTGCTGATGGGGGCTTGGATTGAATCACCTGAGCAGCCCATGAGAGGTACTGCTTAGGTGAGGACACTGGCTAATGCTTGTTCTCCTCTCACACCTACAGATGCCTTCTGTACCTGTGCTGGATGGAAGGGAAGCAGGGATGATAAAGGAACGAGAAAGGTAGAAAAAAAGCAACAACCAAAAAAAAAAAAAAAAATCCATGCAGTTGCAAGAACACAAAATGAAGGCATCCTCACCATCCTACTTGTGTTACAGTCAGAGCTTACCCGGCGAGTGCTTCCCCAACAAGCCCTGGGGTGGGATGTGCCCTGCAGGGGTCTTCACAGGTCTCTGGGCCTGGTCTTGCCTGCACCTCTGCCCTGCACTGACCGTCTCAGCAGCCCCACCCTTCTCAGTCTGCACCCTGCTCCTCCTGTCTCCAAGCTGCTCCCCCAGGGCTCGTTAGATGCCTGTCTTATGCTCAGGCTGGGTTGCACCCCTGTAGGTGGTTCGGGAGGCCTCTGCCTTGTTCTGACGGCCAGACCCTTGGGGAAGCAGAGGTGTGGAGGATGCAGCGCGGTGGGCTGCTCACGGGTCTCCAGGGCCCTTTCTACCTCCAGTCCCTGCTCCTTTCTCTGCACACAAACCCAGCAGCTGCTCCTATGTGCTCCCTACACGGGGCTGCACAGAAGAGCACCACTGCCTGCCCTCTGGCTCAGCTGGCATCTCCGGCTCACTGCCCATGACCGTTTCCTCGTTGCTGTCCAGTGTCCCCTTGAACTCGGTGGTGCAGTGCTCTGTAGCCCCGAATGGGGTGGGGAGAGTTCCTACGCAGTGCCGAATGGTGGTGGTCAGCGTCCCAGTGTTTGGGGGAGGAACACGCCTGTGCCTATCTTTGGACTGTTCTAATTGCTTTTCTCCCCAGGGTGTCCCTGCTCACCCCTGGCTGAGGGCGCTGAGGCGTTCTTGTTCTCAGCACTTGGACCTGGGTCCCTAATCAGGACCATGCATTTGTTTTTAGCTTTCCCAATGGCCTGATGGTGCTCGCAGACACTGCTCATTGGCTTCAGTGTCGCTGGCATTTTGGTCCCCAAATATCTCATTTGCTGGGTTTGTTTTCCTGGTGAGGACAGTGGCCTGGCCACCCCTGAGATTTTGGCGGTCCTCCCTCAGGACGGCACACATTCCTCCACACACATGCCCTTTACACCATGTGCTATGCTTGTGTCTGGATGTCCCCCCACAGCCTCATGCAATCATAGGGCTTTTCAGGGTGGATCTGGATCTAGGGTGTATGACACTGGGAGTAAGGGTGTGATGCTGGGATCAAGGGTGTCTGATTACTGAATCAGTCCACTGGTTTGACATAGTTCTTAGGGTGGATAATGGGAAGAAAGGAATATTCTTGTAAATGGCAGCTGTCTAGTTCCCCTCTGAAACTCATGCCACTGGAGTGAAGTCAGGCAGTGGGGCTTTCAGAGGTGGTCAGTTGTGAAGAGGATTGATGCCTTCCTCACCTGAGAGTGGGCTGTTAGGAGGCAAGTCCAGCTCCTCTTGGTGTCTCTCCCATGTGCACTGGATTGCCCATCTGCTTTCCCACCCTGTCTTGATGCAGCACGAGGCCTTCATCACAGGCAGCTGCCTGATTTTAGACTTTCTAACTTCGAGGATTGAGAACCAAGTAAACCTCCTTTCTTCAGAAAGTACCATCTCAGACATTTCATTATAGCAACAGAAGACAGACTAATACAGACACATTGGAGCCAGCTGAGCGCCTCAGGAAAGGGATGGGAGGATGCCTATCTTTACGGAAGTGGAGAAGGATTGGTACCTGAAGTAGGTTCCAAGGAGTTGTACTTCTCTTGTTTTGCTTTGTTGAGGCAGCAGTGCTTGGCCTACAGGACAGAATCCTGAAATAGAGCCAGGTTCTCAGAAACAGAAAGCTGGAGAAGTGGGATGCTCTTCTGCTCTGCAATCTGAAAGAGAATGGACAGATTTCCTTCAACTCTGTTTCCTGTAACTTTGACTGTGCCATCCATCTCTGTATCTATACTCTTTCCACACTTCGAGTCCAAAGAAAAGCCATGCAGCTACAAGTGCACGTGCAAGTCACTCCCTCACCATTGCCCAGGGAATCAGTATGTGGATTGAATGGGGTTCTAGACTTAGCCTCTTGTGGCATCCACAGCACCATCATGTGCCTAGGCTGCTCCTGTAGCCTAAGATGGAAGGTGGTACACAGAGAGACAGAAGGTAGAAAACGTGCTGGGTGGATGGCAGAGGGGTGAGAGAGCATGGGCGGACCAGAAATGGTAAAACTCTATCCAATGGAATTGCCTGGGGCTGGGGATATGTCTCAGTGGTAGAGCACTTCTTTAGCAGGCACAAGGCCCTGGGTTTTGAGCCCTAATACTGCAAAACAAAACACAACAAAACCCATAAAATAATTGTATGGAAAGCTCCCTGGGCTAACGTTGGAGTCCCACGCTTTGCAGACAGTCTCCAGGAAGCCGTCCATTCCACAGCTGTCCGGTGGATCATGGTCTCAGTGGTGGTCTTAATGACTGACAGGCCTGTTGTGGCAGGGAGAGCAGGTCACCCTGGCAACTCTGGATGGGATCCAGTTTGGCCAGTTTGTTAATTTTCACCACTCAGTTTGGGTCCAGGATGGATAATCTGCCCCCGTGTCCTTGTTCTGGAAAAGGGGAGAGGAAGCTCTCTACCATTTTTCTATTTCCTCCCTTTCAGATTCTCTCTACCAAGGCCTCACACACTTCAGCCTGGTTGCTTGGAGAGCAAGGAGATGGGACAGTAGACCAGTGGGACCAAGTGTCCATGGGAACACGGTGAGGGAAGGCAGGAGGCACAGAAAGCTATGAGAGAGGGCAAGGCTGTTAGTGGTGATGATGAGAGAGATCGCATGGGCTTGGTGGCGTCATGACCCGCTGGCTTCCAGCACCCTGACCAGTCCTGAAGAGATGACAGTGCCGCCCCATCCTTATCAGTAGAAAAGAGCCCAATGCTATGCTGCCTCTCAGCTCTGACCTTTCCATCTCCCTCCCTGCCACCCACCTCACCTCAGCCCCCTTTGCCTAGCCTGAACTCACTTAATTTCACCCTTTTCCTGTGTTCTCATAATGCTGGCAACTCTACCTATTACTTCACTTACCACTTGTTTTACTGTTAGGTGTTTACATGGAGCAGTGGCTGGTCCCATTCAGTCCATCCCCTGTCCTGGCATATGCCAGAGCTCACTGATGGTGCATGAGCAACTGTCCATTGTGACACCTGGACATCACCAGGGTCTCACAAACAGCTGTGTGGTGCTGAGAGGCAGGGACTGTCTTCCTACATGGGTCACAGGTGAGCAGAGGGTAGAGGGTGGGTGAGGACTAAGTAACGCAGCTGTGACTGTCATTCTACTCAGCCACACTTTCCAACTGTGGGCACGGGCAAAGTGCAAGGGGAAACTGAAGCAGTTACACAGCTAAAGGCCTGTGCTCCCAGTACCTGCCCAGACATGGAGAGAAGCAGGGTAGAGCTCTGGCACGCAGGTTCCCTACCCAAGCCATGCAGGTGAGCTCTGCACCTGGGCTCCATCTTTGGGAGATTCTTGCAGCAATTACTGACAATTCCATACAAGTTTGAATGTACCCCTCAAATTCATGTGTTGGAAATTTAGTTCCCAAATTAGTATGTTGATATTTGGAGGTGACATTTTTGGGAGGAAATTATGGTTAGATAAGACCTGGAGGGTGGGGTCCCAGGGAGTGGACCTGTGGGCTCAGGAGAGAATGACACACCTGTGTTCACAGGTTCCCTGAGCTGCCTGCTATTGCTAAAATGCAGCCAAGTGGACTTGCGAGACAGGGCTTTTTGGTCTCAGACTTCACAGCCTCCAGAACCCCAAAAAACACATTTATTTTCCCTGTTAATTACCCAGTGTCAGGTTAGTCTGTTTTTGTAGCAATGCAAAATGGACTAAGGCACGACCATTTTCCCAGAATGGAATCTATTGCACAATTGAGTAGTTTCATTAATTAAAGAGTCAGCAACTGTAAAAAAAATTGTAGTGCCAGGCATAGTGGCACATGCCTGTAATCCCAGCACTCAGGAGGCTGAGGCAGGAGGATTGTTGAGAGTTCAAGACCAGCCTGGGCTACAAAGTGAGCTCAAGGCCAGCCTGAACTGCATAGCGAGACCCTGTCTCAAAAAGAAAAAAGAAAAAAAGTAGTAATCTGAGCCTGAGGCAAGAGAACTGTTGAGTTCAAGGCCAGCCTGGGCTATGTATGTATCCATGCATAAATAAACAATAACTACACGTAACATGAAATTGACCATTTAGAATATTTTTACGTATATAATTCAGTGGCATTAACTACATCCACATTGATTGCAACCATCACTAACACCCATTTCCAGAACTCTCTTCACTTGGGACTCAGGGCCCATGAGATAGCAGCTCCCTGCTCCTCCCACCATTCCCTAGCAATCAACCATGCTCCCTGTGCCTATACACTCTGCTCTTCCAGATGTCTCACAGAGGACACCTGTACACTTGTCCTCGAGGTTTCTCCACAATATAGTGGTGTGGTGGACCTACTAGCTTCCTTTTTAGGTGGAATAATACTCCACTGCAATTGTATAGGGAGTGGCTGAAGCTGGAAATACTTCAGTCCTGAAAAAACATCTTGCCTGAGACAATTCCAGTCATTAGTTCCTTGCCAACCCTCTGTGCATGATATTAACTTTGTCAGAAGTATAAATAAACACCCCTGCTATTGTTGTTCCATTCCTCTTCTCCCATCCTGAAAGAGGGCTCCACCTGACCTCAGCTTTCAGCTCTTGTCTATATTTTCTAAATACCCTCGCCATTTTCCCCTAGGACCATTGAGAGCTGTGCAGGTCATGGCACAATTGGTTCATCCATTCTTACTTTTCAATCAAAACTCCCTCTAAAATCTTCCTGGTACAGATAAGGAACTCCACAGGAATACAGCCTTGAGCTTTCTCACCAGGTCCTGTACTTTCCTCACTGGTAAGGGTGGAGATGGGAGGAAAAGTGTGGAAACCCACTCCATTAAGAACAATGCTGGGCCAGGGATGTAGCTCAGCAGCATAAGCGCCTGCCTGGCAAGTGCAAGGTCCTGAGTTTGATTCCTGGTACCAAAAAAAAAAAAAAAAAAGAATGCTAAGGAATTTTGAGAAAAGGTACACTGGGGAATATGGAATAAAGTTAACCCCCACAGGATGAGAACTCTATGAAATTGACTGGTCATCTTTCAATGTAGGGGCCTACTGCAGGGGCAGCAGATAGGGGGATGATTGGAAGGGCATATTGGAGGTAACTGAAACAGAGGGCAAGCCCAAGGGGACATCAGGTACAGAAGCTAAAGGCCTGTGTGGGCATGAATGCCACTCAGCTCTTGGAAGTAGTCACTAAAGTGTATGTTACTTATGATCAAGAAGCCAAGTGGGAGGTTGAATGACATCTTAAAAAAAAGGAAAGATCTGCTAGTGACAGCACTCATGAGGGGGGTGGAGATAGAGGTCACCAAGGGATGGGACAGCAGGATTTTGTCATATCTGAACCCCAAATTTTGAGCTTCAGCCTTAGGACTGCCAGACATAACTAAACCCATCTTCCTATGTGTCCATAAATGAAAGAAAATGGCCATAAAAGTCTTCACCCAGGTCACAGGATCCTGGCATCATCTGATGGCATACTTGTCAAAATGGCTGGACTCTGTGGCCTTAGGATGGTCACCATGCTTTTGGGCACTTGCTGCCACTGCTCTACTGATGTAGGAAGCTGACAAGTTGACTTTGAGACAACAACTGACTATTTGCTACCACATTCAGTTACAACCTTAATGGACCAGAGGGGGCACCTTGCCTGAGACAATTCTAGTCATTGCCATCCAAGCAGAGGATGGCTCACGACCTGGTATCAGGGGCCCCTATGCAAAAATCCTTGTATAGCCCTAAAGACAGTAAACACTCTTCACTCATGCTCCCAGTAGAACTGGAAGCCCCCTTCATGACTGTGAAAATTGTGGAAGAGCAGTTCTCAAGCCATGGAGATCTCTGAGATCCCCCTCTGGGAGACCCAGATGTTCAGTATTTTAGAAGGAGAAGTTTGGTATTGGACAAGGACCAATGAGCAGACTATGCACTGTGATGTTGGACTCTGTAGGAGAAGCCCAGCCTCTGCCTACCAGAGCCTCTGCTCAGATGGCTGAGCTAACAGCCCCAACAAGGGCCCTGTTGCTAGGTGATGACAAAAAAGCTAACATCTATACTGATCCTACATGTGCCTTTGCCACACTACTTGTTTATGGAGCTATATACAGGGAGAGAAAGGAGGAAAGGAGATAAAATATAAAGAAGCAATTCTGCAGGTCCTCGATGCTGTATGGGCACTAAGGAAAGTGGCTGCTGTACACTGCAGGGGGCATCAATGGACTGGTATGACAGATGCCAGAGGAAACCAAAAAGCTATGGCAGCTTCACAACCCCAAAGAGGGGTCCCAGCCCTGCCCCTCATTCCCAAACCCCCAATTCTGGAGACTTCAAAGTATACTTCAATTAAAAAGACCTGGTTAACCTGGGATTGATCTCAAGGGAGAATGGTGGACAGTCTCTGATGGGAGACTGGCTCTCCATGAAATGATAGCTCCTAGGTTAGTGAGGCAGTTCCACCAAGGGTCTCACATGGGAAAAACAGCACTAGAGATGTTATAAGTTGTCACCTCTATGTGCCATGGCTCACTGCCATCACTCAAGCTGTTTGCAAACAGTGCCTAACCTATGTACAGAACAACCCAAAATAAGAGCCCACCAGGTCCCCAGACATCCAAGATGCAGGTGCTACCCTGTGTGAAAACTTGCTTGTGGACTTCATTGAGCTGCCCTGAGCAGAAGGATATCATTATATGCTGGCACCAGTCTGCACCTTCTTTGGGTAGGTACAGCCTTCCTTACTCAGACAGAGAAAGCACTGAAAGTAACAAAAGTATTGTTAAAGGACATCATCCCAATTGGACTGCCCCTAACTTTGGGATCAGACAATGGGGCAGCATTTGTGGCTGTGATAGTTCAAGAGGTCTCACAGATGTTAACAATGAAATAAAAATTATATTCAGCCTACTGGCCTCAAATCTCTAAAAAGGCAGAGCATATAAACCAGACACTCAAACAACTGCTAGAAACATACTGTCAAAAAGCATACTTAAGATGGGATCAAGTCCTGCCTATGACCCTTCTCCATGTACCCTCCAAAACAAACAGGGTATTCCCCTTATAAAATCTTGTTCAGCTAGGCAGCCCCAATTATAAGGCAAATTAAAGGTAATCTCTGCAAACTAAAAAAATTACCTCTAAAGAGACAAACATAGGCTTTAAAAATAGCCAAAGTATCCACGCAGGGGTACAACAGAAAAATGCCTATAAGTTTAACAGACCCAATTCACCTCTTTAAACCCAGAGACTATTTGGGTTAAAAGGTAGACTCCTACCCCCCTAGGGCCCATGTGGGATGAGCCCCACACTGAGATCCTGTCTACCCCCACTGCTGTTAAAGTTGCAGGAGCTGTGCCATGGACCCACCACAGCTAGCTAAAGCCAGCAGCCCAAGGCAAGTGGACTGGCCAACAGCATCCAGACCAACCAAATCACTATCCTGTAGGGCAACTGAGCTGTCACCAATGATGACAGCCCTGCTCTGGTCAACTCCAGTCAACACAGGGTGAAGCTTGAGGATCATCATGGAGTTATAACAACCACATAAGACTCTTTTCCTTTCTGTTATAATTTTCTTTTTGCTTTAGTCTAAGGAAAAAAATCCTTACAAGAATGCTCCCACTACATTTACACCATGCAGTCAAAAAACATTAAAACAAGAACCCTGCTATATCATACCTATTGAGTGTGCAAGAACACACAGAGAAACTTACACTCACAATCAGATGACCTCCTCAGTCTGTGACCCTGGGGATAAACAGTCCTATGTCTGTTATGACCCCAAGTTACCCCCTCTTATGAAACCTGGTTTAAAGTCTATGCTAGAAAAAGAGACAGAAAAAGGTGACTTTTAAACAAAACTGAAGTCCCTCCAAACCATACAGGATGCTATGTGGGGATACCAGAGCTCCATCTACAAGCTCAACTGCATTATCAGGTTACAAGTGGTACTACAGCTCGTCACCAATGACACTGCAAAGGCCTTAAATCTACTGGCGCAACAGGCTTGGAAA